TTAGTTATCACGTCTGTTTCTATTTCAGTTCGTCGTGTGAAATTGTATAATACGTCGTTTGTGTATAAATAACCGTCGTTTGTTTTATATATTTAGGTGCTTATATGATCTTTTGAGAGAAGCAAATATGTGCAGCATGGTTGGCTTTATCGACCCTGCTCAAGTTAGTGCCAACGCTGGGTCACTAACTGACAGATCACGAATTGTAGCCAGTCGACTTCAGAAAACAGATGGTGAACAGATTTTCATGATGCCTTACAATCCAGGGTTAGTCTCCTTAAAAGGATTTTGTTTGTATGATTTTCACTAACTGACACTTATAAAACTGTTTAACTAATTCTGTGTCGTTTGAAACATCTAACCACGTCGGTTATTTATTTATTGAGTCGTTTGAAACAACTAACCACGTCGGTAGTTAATTACCGTCGTGATAAATTTATAATGACGTCGATGATTAAGTTATTACGTCGTGTGAAACTATATAATACGTCGGTTTTTATAAATAACCGTCGTTTGTTTTCTTGTGCTGACTTTTTATATTAACCGTCGTTTTTTATTTTATTTTTGTGCAGCCGTCATTGGGTCTTGCTGATTGTGAGAGCAAAGAGGGAAACCGTCTATTTTCTGGATCCTCTGCCTGGAAATCGTGTGGTTGATGAGGAGGGCAAAAACATCGTGAACAGTGCTTTAAAAATTTATAATTCCCACATAGGCAGACCAGGCCGTAAAGCACCAATTTGGAAAACTCTGCCAGGCACACCAAAGCAACCCAGCAGTGTCGAATGCGGGTATTATGTGATGCGCTTCATGAGGGACATCATCATGGATCCTTCCTTGGAGTTTGAGAAGAAGGTAAGAAGAAAATTTTCAGAAACATTTTATGTGGTTTTTTGTATTATCAACGACGGTCATTTAAAATTACCGTCGTTGAATCGATAGACTACGTCGGTTATGAAAAAAAACGTCGTCTGTGTCTGAATTTCTTTTTATTTTGTAAAGCTTAATAATCATTGTTTATGGATTGCAGTTTGCCAAGGGAAAAGATCAAGCGCCATACCCCCAAGCAGCCATTGATGAAGTCAGGAAAGAATGGGCAGAGTTTGTTTGCCTTCATATGGATTAGAGGATTTTTGGAACACTTGATATTTTTATATGTACTAATTTTGTCTATAATATATAATGTACAAATTTTGTCTATAATATACATCCTTTTTTTCCCTGAAAATTTGCTGAGGTTTTCATAATATAAAAGAAAAAACAAATTGCGTAACCGACGTGTAATAACTTTCCAACGACATAATTATGTAAAAAACCGACGTAAAATGATATTTAGACGTGATGGGACGTACATGGGACGTCGTTTTGATGAAAATTTCGCCATGGTTTCGCTTTTAAACGACGTCCTTTTGAACAAGTAAGTCGTTTATTAGGGTTTAGGTTAATACTTTTTAACGACGGTGATTCGGTCGTGGAATATGTATTTTACGTCAGATGGTGAAACATCCGCCATGGTTTCTCTTTTAAACGACGTCCTTTTTACATGTGAGTCGTTTATTATTATTTACAACGTCGTGGTTTGTTGTTGATATAAGAATATTTTATTATTTTTAATTCAAAATTTTAAAAATAAATTTAAAATAAATTCAAAAATTCAACTTCAACTCCTATGAAGTCATTGATATATTTTCTTCCCCCTAAACCCCAAAAAAATGCAGTTTGTGTAATAAAAGTTTAAAATGACCAACCAAAATAAAATTGTTTTGATGAGTCATAGCATCACTTATATAGTTTGATGGTTTAGGGTTTAGGGTTTGGGGTTTAGGGTTGTTATTTATTAGGGTTTAGGGTTAAAGTATAATTTTTGGGGTTTAGGGTTTATGTTTGTTATTTATTAGGATGTAAAACCATAAACAATTTTATAAAATTAAATTTTACAAATATATAATTTATGGTTTTAAAGTTTAGGGTATTACTTTTAACGACGGTGATTGAGTCGTGGAATATTGAGTTTACGTCGGATAGTGAAAAATCCGACGTGGTTTCTCTTTTAAACGACGTTTTTTTACCTGTTAGTCGTTTATTAACATTTACAACGTCGTTAGTTACTTAACCCCGCCGTGGTTTGTTGTTGATATAAGAATATTTTATTATTTTTAATTCAAAATTTTAAAAATAAATTTAAAATAAATCCAAAAAATTCAACTTCAACTCCTATGAAGTCATTGAATATTTTCTTCCCCCTAAACCCCAAAAAAATGCAGTTTGTGTAATAAAAGTTTAAAATGACCAACCAAAATAAAATTGTTTTGATGAGTCATAGCATCACTTATATAGTTTGATGGTTTAGGGTTTAGGGTTTGGGGTTTAGGGTTGTTAGGGTTTAGGGTTAAAGTATAATTTTTGGGGTTTAGGGTTTATGTTTGTTATATATTAGGATGTAAAACCATAAACAATTTTATAAAATTAAATTTTACAAATATATAATTTATAGTTTTAAAGTTTAGGGTATTACTTTTAACGACGGTGATTGAGTCGTGGAATATTGAGTTTACGTCGGATAGTGAAAAATCCGACATGGTTTCTCTTTTAAACGACGTGTTTTTACCTGGTAGTCGTTTATTAACATTTACAACGTCGTTAGTTACTTAACCCCGCCGTGGTTTGTTGTTTATATAATAATATTTTATTATTTTTAATTCAAAATTTTAAAAATAAATCCAAAAAATTCAACTTCAACTCCTATGAAGTCATTGATATATTTTCTTCCCCCTAAACCCCAAAAAAATGCAGTTTGTGTAATAAAAGTTTAAAATGACCAACCAAAATAAAATTGTTTTGATGAGTCATAGCATCACTTATATAGTTTGATGGTTTAGGGTTTAGGGTTTGGGGTTTAGGGTTGTTATTTATTAGGGTTTAGGGTTAAAGTATAATTTTTGGGGTTTAGGGTTTATGTTTGTTATATATTAGGCTGTAAAACCATAAACAATTTTATAAAATTAAATTTTACAAATATATAATTTATGGTTTTAAAGTTTAGGGTATTACTTTTAACGACGGTGATTAAGTCGTGGAATATTGAGTTTACGTCGTATGGTGAAAAATCCGCCATGGTTTCTCTTTTAAACGACGTTTTGTTTACACGTGAGTCGTTATTGTTATTTACAACGTCGTTAATTACTTAACTCCGACGTGGTTTTTCATAGTTTTAACGCCTTTTTTGATTTTGCGTCGTACATAGTTTTACCACGACGTCCTTAATGTAATAAGCGTCATGTTTCATGTTAAATTTTAACGACGCTTGTTTTTTCGGTCGATGTTTTAAAGAGCGCGCTTTCTTAAAATATTCGCGGGACCTAAAATGTTGAATATGGAATGGATTTCATTTTGTCGGATCTTTTAATCACTCTCTGTTATGTTGAATTGGGAATGGATTTATTGTTTTCATGCTTAGTATATGTTGGTTTCTTGTTTGGTTTCATGTCTATGTTGTGTTCTTAATAGGGTTTTGGGATCTTGAAAATAAACTGGATATCGACGCGTTTTCAGGCATACGACGACGATTTTTACTTTAAACCGTCGTTTTTATTACTTATACACGACGGTGTTATTTAACTACCGTCGTGGTTATAATTAGATGACGTAAAATCCGTCGTCTATATATGTCAAATATGTCTGTTTTTGTTTAAAAACCGTCGTCTCTGTTGTATATTACTTGCTATTAGACTTTATATAATCTGCTATAGTGATGGTCATTGCTTGTCTTTTCACTTTATTATATATAATAGGGTATAGTGTCGGAGATGGATAAGTCATGGATGCACTCGGATAGAAGATCGAAGGCATATGAGTTAGGGGTGGAAGCATTTTTGAACTTTTCTGTAGAAAATCTTCTAACTACCACACATATCCGTTGTCCATGTGTTAAATGTGTTAATTTGAAATTGTTTGGGGTTGGAATTATAAGGGACCACTTATACTTTAATGGAGTTGACCAAAGCTATAAGAATTGGACATTTCACGGAGAACCTTGGGAAGCAACTACTAATGCTAGTAGAAATGTTGAAGAAGATGATGACCATAGTAGGTACAGTTTTGTGTCTGAAGAAATAGAGATGGATGATAATGATTTTGGTGATTTTGGATCTGATCCTTATGAGTTTGCCAATGTGATTGGGGATGGAGATCAACCATTGTACCCTGGTTGTAGAAAGTACACGAAGTTATCGGCATTAGTAAAGTTGTATAATTTGAAGGCAAAATATGGGATGAGTGATGTCTGTTTTACAGAATTATTGATACTTCAAGGCGATTTGCTTCCAGAAGGAAATACAATATCGGCCTCTATGTATGAGGCAAAAAAGACTTTGTGTGCATTGGGGCTGAGTTATGAGAAAATGCACGCATGCCCCAATGATTGCATCTTGTATAGGAAGGAGTATGAGGATTTAACTCATTGTCCTAATTGTGGTATCTCAAGGTGGAAGGAAGGCAAAGATTCAATCTTGAAAGAGGGTGTGCCAGCGAAGGTGGTGTGGTATTTTCCTCCAATTCCAAGGTTTAAAAGGATGTTTCGATCACATGAGACCGCTAAGAGTTTGACTTGGCATGCTGCTAGAAAATCAATTGACGGTTATATGTCTCATCCAGCGGATTCCCCGTCTTGGAAACTTCTTGATGATAAATGGCCCGAGTTTGGTAATGAGCCGAGAAACTTGAGATTGGCTCTTTCATCTGATGGATTCAATCCCCACAGTTCTCTAAGTAGCAGATATAGTTGCTGGCCAGTTATCTTAGTTACATATAATCTCCCTCCATGGCTGTGCATGAAACGAAAGTTCATGATGTTGACCTTATTGATTTCCAGTCCTAAACAGCCTGGAAATGATATAGACGTCTACTTGGAGCCTTTGATTGATGATTTAAAATCTTTGTGGGATGGGATTAGAGGAGTGTATGATGCACATAATGGAGAATAGTTTACACTCAGAGCTGCATTAATGTGGACAATTAATGATTTCCCCGCCTATGGAAACTTATCTGGTTGTGTTGTTAAAGGATATAAAGCTTGTCCAATATGCGGCGATGATACACCTAGTCACAGGTTGAAAAATGGCCACAAAATTTGTTACATTGGGCATAGAAAATGGTTACCGATCAATCATCCATATAGGAGGCAACGTGCAGCTTTTAATGGGAAACCTGAATATGGCACGCCTCCTGAGCCATTAACCGGAGAAGAAGTGCTGCATATGGTTGAAGATGGTGACAGAGTTTGTTGGAAGAAGAAATCAATATTCTTTGATCTCGAGTATTGGAAATACCTTCCTGTGAGGCATGTCCTAGATGTTATGCACATTGAGAAGAATGTTTGCGATAGTATCATTGGTACATTGCTGGAGATCCCTGGAAAAAATAAAGATGGGATTGCTGCTCGATTAGATTTATTGAACATGGGGTCAAAACTGATTTGCAACCCGAGTATGGAGAAAGACGTACTCGTTTGCCTCCCGGGCCTTGGAATTTGTCAAGAGCAGAGAAGAGAGAGGTTTGCAATTCTTTCTATGGTATGAAGGTCCCTGAAGGTTATTCTTCAAATATAAAAAATCTGTATCTTTACAAGATTCAAGACTTCTTGGCCTTAAATCACATGATTGTCATACCTTAATGCAACAATTGCTCCCTGTGGCAATTCGTTCTGTTTTGGAGAAGCCTCCAAGGTATGCAATAACTCGTTTGTGCTTCTTCTTCAATGCTATATGTGCAAAGACTGTTGATGTTTCCAAGCTAGATAAGTTGGAAGAATATGTAGTAGTTACTTTGTGTTTGCTTGAGAAGTACTTTCCCCCTTCATTCTTTGATATCATGGTTCATCTAGTAGTACATCTTGTCAGAGAAGTTCGTCTATGTGGGCCAGTATATTTTAGATGGATGTATCCGTTTGAAAGATATATGAAAGTGCTAAAGGGGTATGTTCAGAATCGTACTCGTCCCGAAGGTTGCATTGCTGAGCGGTATATAGCTGAAGAAGCTGTAGAGTTTTGTACCGAGCATTTATCTGATGTTAGTACAGTTGGAGTGCCTTCAAGCCAAAAGATGGGAGTTTCAAAGCCATTATCAGGTTGCACAGTGAGCGTAGTTGATCGGGACCTGTTGAACCAAGCACATCTATATGTCTTGGAGAATACGGAGGAAGTCCTACCTTATATCGAGTACGTATGAGTTTTATTCTTTAAGTTTCCATTTTCAATTATTTCTTATGTTTATCTTATATGTTTGGGACTGTAATACTTGAATTTTGTGTGTCATGTAGGCAACATATGATCCACATCAAGACCGCTTATCCAAAATTTAGAAAGAGAACAAAGTGGCTGCAGGATAAGCACAATAGCACTTTCATTCAATGGCTACGCTTCAAGGTATATGTTATTGAATAACATATTGGACTTTTAATTTTCTTCTTTCTATGTTAGATTGAATTAAGTTATGATTAATTTGCAGGTTCAAAGTGAACTTAATGAGGAAGACAATCATGGCGTATCAGAAAATTTAAGGTGGCTAGCAGCTGGTCCAAACATGGCAGTGCCATTATATAGGAGCTATCTCATTAAAGGTATTAAATTCAACATCAAGGCACAAGATGATGTGCGGACAACTCAAAATAGTGGAGTTTATTTACTTGCACATACTATGCAAGTTGCTAGTGCCAAGGATAAAAACCCAATTCTCTCAAATATGGGTTTCTATGGTGTCATTCAAGAAATTTGGGACCTTGACTACCAAAAGTTTACAATCCCAGTCTTTAGGTGTGATTGGATTGATAATACTTCTGGTCTTGTAGTGGACGAACTTGGATTTACCCTTGTAGATTTGAGTAAAATTGGACATAGGAATGACCAATTTGTTTTGGCTTCTCAAGTCAAACAAGTATTTTTTGTTGACGACCCGATGCATCGTGGTTGGTCGGTAGTGTTATCAATGCCTAATAGAGAATATAATGATGTTATTGGTGATGATGTCTTAGGTGATGTGAGAATTGAGTGTGAGCCATTTACTAGGGGATGCCAAATGTTGACACATTTGATGAAGTGGTGGTTGAGTTAGGGAGTCAAAATATTCGAGATGGGTGTGAAGATATATGGGTTGAATGATGCTTTATGTAATTGGCAGTGTATGACATTAATTTTGTAATATATTGTAATGTGATTTCTTCACTTTCATTATACAGGTTTTGGCCACAAAACAATCAGTACAAAAATTACTGGTTCCAGATTACAAACACGACGGTTTTGATAAAAATGTGAAAAACAAACGTCTGTTCTAATAAATAACGAAGTTTTGGAGCATTCAACGACCGCAATATATTTACCGACGTCTTAAAGCAACGTAACAATGAAGAACCACGACGCTATTGTGAAACAGTTATCCAGGATAACACGTCGGACAAGCATAAAGAACCGCCATGTAATTCAAAATAACACGACTCCAATCCCATAATACCGACGTCTAAAAGACGAGAACTTTAACCTGAACGTTACAAAAGACGACGTCGTCATGAATTTACCACGTCGCATGTTCTTTCATAAACGAAGTGGAAAAGGATGAATTCACGACGGTATTTGAAGTCCATTAAATTTGTCGACGTTAAGATTTATGAATTAGACGACGTTAATTTTTTTAATGAAGACGTATAAATTATTAAACACGACGGTCTTTTTCATGGTAACGACGTTGTATATAGACTACAACGTCGTCATTATAAATTACTGTGTCGTAATTAATGACCCCATTTTTTTTTCCACGTCGTTTATTTTCAAAATATGACGTATAAATTCTGTAATACGGCTCTCATTTATTTGGAACCGACGTTATTTATTGATTTCAACGTCGTCTCTGTAAATACATGCGTCGTAAGTAATGACCCTGACATCTATTTCCACGTCATAATTCATAGAAAAATCGAAGTGGAAAATTTATTTTACGACGGTTGTGGGAAATGTTGTGACGTAGTAGGTGTCAATAACGTCGTCTATTATGATTGTAAAGACGTCATATTTATATTTGTCGTTAAATATTTATTTAACGGCGTTAAGTTTTAGTTCTCGTCGTTGTATGTTTATCTTGCGGCCATGTTCTGTTAATATATGTCATCTGTTTCCTTTTTAACGACGTTTTTTTGTTGGAGTTGGTCGTCTATTCTCATCCTCGACTGTTTTTTTATGTCTTTTTGCAGCACAAAGACGTCGGTTTTTATTTTTTGATGACGTTTTTTGTTTTAACAACGACGGTTATTCACCATCGTGGTTTGGTTATGGAAAAGATGTCGGTGGATTCCACGACCATTTGAAAACAGAATACACGACGGTGAATTCCCGTCGTGTTTTTCCTTTTTTGTAGTAGTAAAAGCTCCTCCAAATATTTAGATGTATTCTTGGTAGAATTACTCCCTCTCTTCGCCTTCGCCGCCTTCCTCCCAATAGGCCTCGGCTCTTTTTCCATAGGTGAGTTTTGACTCATCGGGGAATCCATAGGTGAATCCGATGTCGGTGTCTCATGGAGTGGCATCTCATTCAACACTATTGTTGGACCCGTTAGAATAATTTGGAATCTCTTACAATTCTTCACCACCTCCCAACATAGGGTATGGTTGAAACTTTTTTTCCCTTGCCCAGTAGCACCAAAAAACATTTGTGCTTGCATAATCTATACAAAAAAAGGCAAGAAAAAAAAATATTGGCAATGCAACAAGTATAAAAAAAATAATGGAAACACAAGAAACTTTAAAAATTATTGGCAATGCAACAAGTATAAAAAATAAAAAATAAAAAAAAAGGAAATACAAGAAACTAAAAAAAATATTGGCAATGCAACAAGTATTAAAAAATTAATGGAAACGCAAGAAACTTTAACCATTTATTAGAAATGCAAAACAAAATATAAATATTGCAAGAAACATTCATATTAATATTGGAAATACAAGAAATATTAACATAATATATAAATTGCAAGAAACATTTAAATAAAATTTAATATGACATAGAAATTAATAAATAAAATATTACAAATAATTTACCTCACTGCTAAGGTTTTCCCCGCTTCTATGGTTGTTCATCGCTTTTGTCAAGGCATCTCTCCATTTTCCCAACTCTTTATTAAGAATTTTCCACCTACTAGATAATGCCTGATCCGTACGGGTCGAACCAATTACCCTTTCACAAAATTCCTGATGAATTTTTTTCCACATATGACAGAATTTGATCTCATTGCCCGTTACGGGACAATGACTAACTTGGAGCCAAGCCTCACACAAGCTAATATCTTCCGTCATGCTCCATGCCCCTCCTCCGGTTTCACTAGAAGAACCCATAATATGATAGAGAAAAAAACAACTTGAAAGAGAGAAAAAAACAACTTGAAAGTGAAAAAAATTTGACTAGAAAGTGAAAAATAGTAGAATGAGAAGAAAATGTTTGAAGAGTTGGTGTTAAAAGTGAAGAGTATTGGTTGGTATTATAGAAAAAAAAATTCAGTATTTTTTTCGTATATTTTTTAAATTTTTTCCGATTTTTTTTTCATTTTTTTATTGGGCAAAAAATTGCCTGCTGTTGGATTGCTGGAAAAAACTAATCGGAGAGCCCAGGAGCTTCCGCGTGGCATAGAGCCGTTGGGGGTTGCTTTTTGGATTTTTTTATTCGCGAAAAAATGGCTGCCGTTGGATAAGTTTACAAAGCAGATCGGATGGCCCAGCTTGCGACACGTGGAATCATGCCGTTGGGCGGCTACTGTAGCGCGCATCAAATTTTTTTTAAACAGCAGCGTTGACGTCATCCCAGCCCGCGGGCTGGAGCTCGGGCCAGCCTCCCCCTCGGGCTTGCCAGGTTTGTGGGCCCCACTGCTTGCCCTGGCAGCTTCTTGTTGCTGGAAACCACATTTTGGGTTTGCCCCCCCCAACCCTCCCCTTGGGCCCCTTGCTGCCAATGCTCTAAAGGATACCGGGCCCATTTACTAAAACAAACCCTTTTTCCCGCTACAAAGCATAAAAGGGTGAAGACTTATGCCGAAATTTCGGCAGAGTCTCCCCTGTAAAACGAACATTCCCAAATTTACATCTACAATAAAAGCACAATTGAAGTACCCAATCGCCGGCACAAAAAAAATAAAGCACACATAGTTTATAAGTCGAAAACAGTAGAAAATTCAAGAAAAAAATCGTTAGTTTACAAGTCGAAAACAGTAGAAAAGTCACGAAAATAAAATCCTACAATGGTGACGGTCATGCGGAGAAGGAGTTTCTAAAACCATAAAGGGGCGCAAAACCATAAAGGATGTGAGTGGACGAAAAGTAAGTTTAAACCTAAGTAGAGGTGTCAAACGGGCCGGCTTATCCCATTTAAACTCGTGCTTTTAACGTTTTCGTGTCGGGCCGGGCCGGCCCATTTAATTTATCGGGCCGTGCCGTGTGGCCCATTTAGTAAAATCATTATCCCGGCCCGGCCCAAAGCCCATGTCCATATTGAAACGGGCCGGGCCGGACTCGTGCTCGTGCTCGTGCCATACTCAGGCCCAAGAACCAATCCATTTAATTTAATTTTTTTCACTTTATTTTTTTTTCCACTAGATAATTCAAATTATAAACATTAAAAATATAATTATAGGCAAGAAATGATGAACTATTTGAAAACATTAATCAATCAAACATCCAAACAATATGAAATGGCGGAGGGCAAAAAGTGTCAAACTCTACAAAGTCCACTTCAACTTTTCATCTTTAAACAACTTATTATTTTATATGTGAAATAATGTCTTGCTTTGATTATAAGAGAAGCATATATGTCATATGTACTGATTAGATATCAAGTCCAATGTTGTTTAATTAAATTTGTAGTTGATATGTTTAATTAATTAAGGACCCAAGTAATTTTCCCTAAAATGAAAGACATCAAATATATATTTATGATTAAAAAAACATATAAATAATGACATTAGATGTCAAATTATTGCATTTTGACTTTTGAGAAAGAAAAAAATATTAAGTGGGCCGTGCTTGGGCTCGTGCTTGGGCTCGTGTCGTGCTTGAAGAGTGCTCGGGCCAAGCCCGGTCCGGTCCATTGGATCTCATTTTTGATCCCGGCCCGGCCCAAGTTTTCGTGCCGTGCTGACCACGACCCATTAATATTCGTGCTCGTGCCGTGTCGTGCCTCATTTAAATGGGCTGGGCTCGTGCCGTGCTGGGCTCGTGCCGTGCTGGGCCGGTCCGTCCCGTTTGACACCTCTAAACATAAGTAAAACAAACATACTAACCCTGCCTTTTCGAAAACATTAGCTAGAAAGCCATGCATGTAAAACCTTTTAACACGTGCTTGATTTAAAAACCTATTGATCCCATAAGTCCCTTTTATACAAATAAATGCACGCACATCCATAGCAATGTACCAGGGGAAAACAATCCAATGCGGGGATTGTTTTACTAGACCACATGGTAGAATCCTCAACGTTCATGTGGCTAGGGAATGAGCAGTCCAACTGGGGGACTATTGCTCCCCATACAAGCAAGGTAGAATCCTCAATACACTTGCAGCTGAAATAAGTCATACAAGCGCTAATAGCCCGTCAAGGCCTTCGATACACCTGGTCAGGGATGCCTGGTTCCCGACACACCTCCGAAAAGTTACCGCGTGTCAAAATAAATATCCAGAGTAACAGTAATGGGGGAGGTACATACTATGATAAGCATGTACACAAATCAAATCCGCCATCAATATATATATATATATATATATATACTGCAAGCACATATTAATACTTTCAATTCCTTTTTACTTCCATACAATGCAATAAAACCCCTTATAATACCCGCATGCAACCATGCATAAATTTCCAATATTTTCCATATCCAAGTATAAACAAATATAAATTTAAAATCCTTTTTAATGCATGAAACTTATACTTTAAAACAATGCTTATTTAACAAAGTCCACTTATAGAAAGTCCAATCTCATATGGCCTCGTAGGGGTCCTGCCTACTGGCTAGACGGAGCCTTAGCACTTATTGAAGAAATATCGAGATACGTTAAAAAATTGTATTTCGAACACGAGGTTTAAATTAGAAGGAAAACCCTAATTCTTGGGATTTAATGCGTAGTTCATGTTAAGATGGTCTCAATAGGTTCATGGTCAATGGTTTGGTCAACTTCCCCTTTTTGGTCAACCCGAGCCCACGGGGCCCATGACCTCTAATTTCCAAATTGAGAATTCCTAAAGGTCCAAATCAAAACAAACAACATGTCCCGAGGGTTTGGCCTTGATCGAGCAGTTGGATTACTCTCGATCGCACAATCAAACGGTTATCGGCTACCTAACCCTAAACTCCTTGAATTGACGTATCCGGGATTTTGATTCCCAATCAACCAATTCTTACACCATCCTAGGGATACAAGGAACCTCATAATTTAAAATGAAACCGATCGGACTATCCGAACCTATCGAACCCGGACATCACCTAATATGTGAAATTTCGTTTGATAGTCAAACAATAACCTATCACTAATCCAAGCACACCGTCATGCTCGGGACACAATGGGTCCCATGCAAGGCCACATGCATCAATAACGCGTGGGTGTCTTGAGTAATTCAGGCGATCGTTTCAAATCCCAAACCGCCAGTCAACACACCATACCTACAGAACCACCACAACTAGGGGAGTCACTTTTGGTCTTGGAACCCAGACAAAGAGTGGTCGGAGCTAGCCCAACCTCAACAGTCGGCCCAAAACCTAGGTTTTAGATTCGATTCAAACTCCCAAATCGACCCAACCACCTAGCAAAATAGCTAGAGGACGTCAAGAAGATGAAGAACCATACCTTAGAGCATCTCCGACCGATGTGTCAAAAGTGCCACATAGACATTTAACGGTAAGAAATAACATCTCACATCACTCCAACCGATGTGTCAAAGCTGATGTGGAATGAAGGCTGGAGGTTGAGATGTTATTTTTGACATCCCAAAAGCAAGATGTCAAATGAATATTTTATTATTTTTAAAGATAGTTGGTTGTTACTTTCATTTATTATTTTCCTTTTTATATTTTTTTTCTTCTTTATCTTAAATGATTTGATTGTTACAATAATTACTTATTTGACATATCGGGTGGAGTGTAAAACTATGTAAATGTCAAATTGCCACATCAGCCATCAAATTTAATTTGATGTTTGGTATTTGACATCTCCTTTGGAGATGCTCTTAGTCGACGAGATTGGTTGCTAGAGTCGCCGGAAATGGTGACTGAATCTGCCAAAAAAAACCAGTCGCTACAGTCATCAAATGTCGGTTTTCGTGCTAGGAAAAGGGGTGGGTTGGGTAGAGAGAGAGAGAGGGAGAATTTGGGACCGGTCTCGTGCAATTTGGTTGTCAGACAGCAACAAAATCGTTTTCTGAAACGGCGGCCTTGCATGGGAGAAGAGAGAGAGAGAGAGAGAGAGAACGTGTGAGGGTTTCTGGGGGCAAAATCGGGTTTCAGGTTTTTAAAACAGAGTTTTTTAAAAAAGACCAAATTTTGTTTTTAGACCCTTATTTGATCATCAAAACTCGGAATTGAGCGTGCCACCTGTCCACGAACTCATCTCAACAAGCTCTACGCAATGGCACAACTCAATTCCCCAAAATAAAAGTGACAAATTTACCCTTAAGGGTAAAAATGTAATTCCATGACTAAATTTTTTAACTTCAAATTTATTTTGGGTCGGAATGTTACATTTAAATGCATCCCCACACCACAAATAGATACCGCCACCGAAAGAGATTGATGGAAGTTGTACCGGCAGAGCTGAGGAGTAAAGGGTGGTGATTGAGAACCAACAATGAAGGGTAGCCGCTGGCCAAAGGGGAGAGAACTATAGAGGGGAGAAAAAACTCAGATATGAGACATAGCTTCGAGAAAATGCACCCATGGAGAGTGGGAGGAGCTGACGACTCACAAGTAGGTGAGGAGGCAAAGATGAGAAGACAAGAAACACAAACAAACAGAAAAAGTAAAAACTCTCATAGTGGAGAGGATGAACTCTCACAAGGGAGAGAGGAAACCCTCACAGGAAGGAGGGAGGAAAGCAAGGGCTTGTAGGAAGAGAAAACAGGGAAGGAAGTGAGGAGAGCTGACAGGACCCCGCCCCGAATTTCCCGGAACCCGAGACGAACCCTGCGGAGACCCCGGCATCACACCCACGCCGGGTTCACTCCTTAAAACTATGTCCTCCTTTACCAGAGAGGATTTAGGGCACGAGACTTTCTGCCAAAATTTCGGCAGAGTCTCCCCTGTAAATTGAACCTTCCCCAAAATTTCCACCTGCATAAAACACATTTTATAACCCAACCAGCAGCACGCACAATATAATCTCATGCAATTTACATAAATGGCCTCCAGCTTTCAAATGATTCTAGCAGAACTACTCCACACTGCTTTTAAAATAACTCCATGCATCAAACATGCTCATAACCAATTCAAAATCTATCTATGCACACCTTCACTCACTCAGTCCACCGGACAAGCCTCAATTCAACCAAGTTTCGGAACCAACCACGAGGTCCGCATCATACTCGATAAACCACCTAAGTGGTGTCTAGGTCGTGGCTGCACCTAGGCGCTATCCCAGGCTGCCTACGTACCCTACTAAGGGATCAAGCCACACTTAGCTCTTTCCTATCAATCCTGGCTCCTGATATCAATTAAACCATCACAACATACCAAACACAATCACATCTCCCACTCATACGTCGGGACGTACCCGGCCACGTACGGGGTCTGTCAACACGCCGGCTAACCCAAAGACGCGTGCGACCTCACACGGGGCCTGGCTACATTCTCACCAGCCATCATACCATCATATCTCCCACTCATACGTCGGGACGCACCCGGCCACGTACGGGGTCTGTCAACACGCCGGCTAACCCAAAGACGCGTGCGACCTCACACTGGGCCTGGCTACATTCTCACCAGCCATCATACCATCATATCTCCCACTCATACGTCGGGACGCACCCGGCCACGTACGGGGTCTGTCAACACGCCGGCTAACCCAAAGACGCGTGCGACCTCACACTGGGCCTGGCTACATTCTCACCAGCCCTCACACAATCATATCTCCCACTCATACGTCGGGACGCACCCGGCCACGTACGGGGTCTGTCAACACGCCGGCTAACCCAAAGACGCGTGCGACCTCACACTGGGCCTGGCTACATTCTCACCAGCCCTCACACATCATATCTCCCACTCATACGTCGGGACGCACCCGGCCACGTACGGGGTCTGTCAACACGCCGGCTAACCCAAAGACGCGTGCGACCTCACACTGGGCCTGGCTACATTCCCACCAGCCCTCACACAATCATATCTCCCACTCATACGTCGGGACGCACCCGGCCACGTACGGGGTCTGTCAACACGCCGGCTAACCCAAAGACGCGTGCGACCTCACACTGGGCCTGGCTACATTCTCACCAGCCCTCACACCATCATATCTCCCACTCATACGTCGGGACGCACCCGGCCACGTACTGGGGTCTGTCAACACGCCGGCTAACCCAAAGACGCGTGCGACCTCACACTGGGCCTGGCTACATTCTCACCAGCCCTCACACAATCATATCTCCCACTCATACGTCGGGACGCACCCGGCCACGTACGGGTCTGTCAACACGCCGGCTAACCCAAAGACGCGTGCGACCTCACACTGGGCCTGGCTACATTCTCACCAGCCCTCACACAATCATATCTCCCACTCATACGTCGGGACGCACCCGGCCACGTACGGGGTCTGTCAACACGCCGGCTAACCCAAAGACGCGTGCGACCTCACACTGGGCCTGGCTACATTCTCACCAGCCCTCACACAATCATATCTCCCACTCATACGTCGGGACGCACCCGGCCACGTACGGGGTCTGTCAACACGCCGGCTAACCCAAAGACGCGTGCGACCTCACACTGGGCCTGGCTACATTCTCACCAGCCATCATACCATCATATCTCCCACTCATACGTCGGGACGCACCCGGCCACGTACGGGGTCTGTCAACACGCCGGCTAACCCAAAGACGCGTGCGACCTCACACTGGGCCTGGCTACATTCTCACCACCATCATACCATCATATCTCCCACTCATAACGGCGGGACGCACCCGGCCACGTACGGGGTCTGTCAACACGCCAGCTAACCCAAAGACGCGTGCGACCTCACACTGGGCCTGGCTACATTCTCACCAGCCATCATACCATCATATCTCCCGCTCATACGTCGGGACGCACCCGGCCACGTACGGTGTTCTGTCAACACGCCGGCTAACCCAAAGACGCGTGCGACCGTCACACTGGGCCTGGCTACATTCTCACCACCCTCACACAATCATATCTCCCACTCATACGTCGGGACGCACCCCCACGTACGGGGTCTGTCAACACGCCGGCTAACCCAAAGACGCGTGCGACCTCACACTGGGCCTGGCTACATTCTCACCAGCCCTCACACAATCATATCTCCCACTCATATGTCGGGACGCCCCGGCCACGTACGGGGTCTGTCAACACGCGGCTAACCCAAAGACGCGTGCGACATCACACTGGGCCTGGCGACATTCTCACCGCCATCATACCATCATATCTCCCACTCATACGTCGGGACGCACCCGGCCACGTACGGGTGTCCTGTCAAACGCCGGCTAACCCAAAGAGCGTGCGACCGCACATGGGACTGGATAAATTCTCACCAGCCATCATACCATCATATCTCCCACTCATACGTCGGGACGCCCCCGGCCACGTACGGGGTCTGTCAACACGCGGCTAACCCAAAGACGGTGCGACCTACACTGGGCCTGGCTACATTCTCACCAGCCATCATACCATCATATCTCCCACTCATACGTCGGGACGCACCCGGCCACGTACGGGGTCTGTCAACACGCCGGCTAACCCAAAGACGCGTGCGACCTCACACTGGGCCTGGCTACATTCTCACCAGCCCTCACACAATCATATCTCCCACTCATACGTCGGGACGCACCCGGCCACGTACGGGGTCTGTCAACACGCCGGCTAACCCAAAGACGCGTGCGACCTCACACTGGGCCTGGCTACATTCTCACCAGCCCTCACACAATCATATCTCCCACTCATACGTCGGGACGCACCCGGCCACGTACGGGGTCTGTCAACACGCCGGCTAACCCAAAGACGCGTGCGACCTCACACTGGGCCTGGCTACATTCTCACCAGCCATCATACCATCATATCTCCCACTCATACGTCGGGACGCACCCGGCCACGTACTGGGTCTGTCAACACGCCGGCTAACCCAAAGACGCGTGCGACCTCACACTGGGCCTGGCTACATTCTCACCAGCCCTCACACAATCATATCTCCCACTCATACGTCGGGACGCACCCGTCCACGTACGGGGTCTGTCAACACGCCGGCTAACCCAAAGACGCGTGCGACCTCACACTGGGCCTGGCTACATTCTCACCAGCCTCACACAATCATATCTCCCACTCATACGTCGGGACGCACCCGGCCACGTACGGGGTCTGTCAACACGCCGGCTAACCCAAAGACGCGTGCGACCTCACACTGGGCCTGGCTACATTCTCACCAGCCCTCACACAATCATATCTCCCACTCATACGTCGGGACGCACCCGGCCACGTACGGGGTCTGTCAACACGCCGGCTAACCCAAAGACGCGTGCGACCTCACACTGGGCCTGGCTACATTCTCACCAGCCCTCATACCATCATATCTCCCACTCATACGTCGGGACGCACCCGGCCACGTACGGGGTCTGTCAACACGCCGGCTAACCCAAAGACGCGTGCGACCTCACACTGGGCCTGGCTACATTCTCACCAGCCATCATACCATCATATCTCCCACTCATACGTCGGGACGCACCCGGCCACGTACTGGGTCTGTCAACACGCCGGCTAACCCAAAGACGCGTGCGACCTCACACTGGGCCTGGCTACATTCTCACCAGCCCTCACACAATCATATCTCCCACTCATACGTCGGGACGCACCCGGCCACGTACGGGGTCTGTCAACACGCCGGCTAACCCAAAGACGCGTGCGACCTCACACTGGGCCTGGCTACATTCTCACCAGCCCTCACACAATCATATCTCCCACTCATACGTCGGGACGCACCCGGCCACGTACGGGGTCTGTCAACACGCCGGCTAACCCAAAGACGCGTGCGACCTCACACTGGGCCTGGCTACATTCTCACCAGCCATCATACCATCATATCTCCCACTCATACGTCGGGACGCACCCGGCCACGTACTGGGTCTGTCAACACGCCGGCTAACCCCAAAGACGCGTGCGACCTCACACTGGGCCTGGCTACATTCTCACCAGCCCTCACACAATCATATCTCCCACTCATACGTCGGGACGCACCCGGCCACGTACGGGGTCTGTCAACACGCCGGCTAACCCAAAGACGCGTGCGACCTCACACTGGGCCTGGCTACATTCTCACCAGCGCTCACACAATCATATCTCCCACTCATACGTCGGGACGCACCCGGCCACGTACGGGGTCTGTCAACACGCCGGCTAACCCAAAGACGCGTGCGACCTCACACTGGGCCTGGCTACATTCTCACCAGCCCTCACACAATCATATCTCCCACTCATACGTCGGGACGCACCCGGCCACGTACGGGGTCTGTCAACACGCCGGCTAACCCAAAGACGCGTGCGACCTCACACTGGGCCTGGCTACATTCTCACCAGCCCTCATACCATCATATCTCCCACTCATACGTCGGGACGCACCCGGCCACGTACGGGGTCTGTCAACACGCCGGCTAACCCAAAGACGCGTGCGACCTCACACTGGGCCTGGCTACATTCTCACCAGCCATCATACCATCATATCTCCCACTCATACGTCGGGACGCACCCGGCCACGTACTGGGTCTGTCAACACGCCGGCTAACCCAAAGACGCGTGCGACCTCACACTGGGCCTGGCTACATTCTCACCAGCCCTCACACAATCATATCTCCCACTCATACGTCGGGACGCACCCGGCCACGTACGGGGTCTGTCAACACGCCGGCTAACCCAAAGACGCGTGCGACCTCACACTGGGCCTGGCTACATTCTCACCAGCCCTCACACAATCATATCTCCCACTCATACGTCGGGACGCACCCGGCCACGTACGGGGTCTGTCAACACGCCGGCTAACCCAAAGACGCGTGCGACCTCACACTGGGCCTGGCTACATTCTCACCAGCCCTCATACCATCATATCTCCCACTCATACGTCGGGACGCACCCGGCCACGTACGGGGTCTGTCAACACGCCGGCTAACCCAAAGACGCGTGCGACCTCACACTGGGCCTGGCTACATTCTCACCAGCCCTCACACAATCATATCTCCCACTCATACGTCGGGACGCACCCGGCCACGTACGGGGTCTGTCAACACGCCGGCTAACCCAAAGACGCGTGCGACCTCACACTGGGCCTGGCTACATTCTCACCAGCCATCATACCATCATATCTCCCACTCATACGTCGGGACGCACCCGGCCACGTACTGGGTCTGTCAACACGCCGGCTAACCCAAAGACGCGTGCGACCTCACACTGGGCCTGGCTACATTCTCACCAGCCCTCACACAATCATATCTCCCACTCATACGTCGGGACGCACCCGGCCACGTACGGGGTCTGTCAACACGCCGGCTAACCCAAAGACGCGTGCGACCTCACACTGGGCCTGGCTACATTCTCACCAGCCTCACACAATCATATCTCCCACTCATACGTCGGGACGCACCCGGCCACTTACGGGGTCTGTCAACACGCCGGCTAACCCAAAGACGCGTGCGACCTCACACTGGGCCTGGCTACATTCTCACCAGCCCTCATACCATCATATCTCCCACTCATACGTCGGGACGCACCCGGCCACGTACGGGGTCTGTCAACACGCCGGCTAACCCAAAGACTCGTGCGACCTCACACTGGGCCTGGCTACATTCTCACCAGCCCTCACACAATCATATCTCCCACTCATACGTCGGGACGCACCCGGCCACGTACGGGGTCTGTCAACACGCCGGCTAACCCAAAGACGCGTGCGACCTCACACTATCACTTGGGCCTCAACATAATCACAATATGGGGGGTACGTGGGGTAGTGCGTATAGCACTGTAAACTAACATTCAATCACTTTATATACCCTTATACATCCGCACAGTTAAGTAAATATATCATAGAATTTCTAATCCGACACTAACATCAACCAATAAAACATTCCATAAACTTCCCCCATTTAAATTCACCAATTATATCCATTTTACTCAACAACGCTCAAGACCGGTCACTAAGGTCATTCTAACCCTCAAATAAAGGTAAGACTATCTCGGAAGTCTCACGGTCAACCTAGGGTCAAACGGGCCTGCGGGGCCCACAACCTCCAAATTCCGATCCGATAGTTCCTAGAGGTTCTACAAGCTCTAGGACACGTGTCCTGCAAGTTTGGTCCAGATCGGACGGTCGGATTGCTCACGATCGCACAATCGGACGGTTACTTAAACCCTAACCCCAGGGTTGGCATTTTCGGAGTATCCGGGACTCCGTTTTACGATCCGTCGAATCCTATATGATCCGGGTAATACTTAGATCAACATATTATAACTTCATGACCATCCAACGGTCCAAACCTAGCAAACCCGGAAAATACGCGATATGCGATATCCGTTCGGGACTCTAACGGTATCCAAAATGAGATCCGAGCACACCTACGCGCTCATGGCAACCTGAGGATCCCATTGGGACAAAAATGCCCCTCAGCTACAGTGCCCACGCGCCGCCCACGCGCCGGCAGAGCGTGGGTGTCCAAAGCGATAACCCATCGCTGGAAAAACCACGAATCACGGCTCAAGACTCCTACCCTAGGTAAAACACCTAATTTGGAGTCACTTTTGTTCTTGGACGTACCCCAAAATCTGACCGGAAGTGGCCGGAATCGCGATCGCAAAATCGGCCGAATTTCAATCCGTAGATCGAGCTACTTAGCCTCAAAATTTATGAAATCCTACCCAACCATCAGCTAGATCATGCAGAAGGGATGAATTTCCATACCTTGATCGCCAAAAATGGCGGCCGGACGACGGAGAACGAAGCCGGCGAATTTTCTGTCAAAACCGGAGCTTTTCTCCTCGTTTTCCGGCGAAACCACGGCGGCTGGCGGCGGGACCTGGCCGGGGTAGGAAGAGGACGGCGGCCCGGTCATTTTGGTACCGGCCCCGTCGACTTTGGTGGCCGGACGAGCGAACGGCCGGCCAAAACGTGGTCGGCCACGGTGGCTGTCGCGAACCAGAGGAGAGAGAGAGCGACGCGCGGGAGAGAGAGAGAGTGTGAGAGACGGGGGCAATTCCGTCTTTTAACCAAAAATCCCACTTCAAAATATTTACGATTATGCCACTGAGCTTCATTTGATCATCTCTCTCGTTACAACTCCGATTCGAGCCCACTACGTGTCTACGGACTCATCTCACCGTGCTCTACGCAACGGTACAACCGAAATTCCCAAATTCCTTCCGGATAAGAAAATGACTAAAATACCCCTATCCCACGGGTAATTTCTCAATTCCACTTAAATAAATTAAAACATGGGATAAATTTGGGGTCGGGGTGTTACAAGAGGGGAGGAGGAACCAAGACCTCTTCACCCAGTGCGGCGCCAAAGAGTGTTTTTACTCTCAAAGAGTTGTTTCTAGTAAATGTAAGATAAACCTAATATATTGACAATTAGACACCCGAAATTAAGTCTAGTGTGTGTATCCGAACAACCAGTTACATTCGCATTTCCATTAAATATTTCTGATGTGTTCAGAAATTAACTGCAACAAAACAAAAGTCAAAGAGAGATGGGAATTTAAAAGGGAGATTCACTAATATACCCAATATGGGGGCCCAAATTATAAAAATACCCCATATGAAATGAACTTTATAAACACACCCAAAACTCATTTACAACATAACAAAGAGGCTTTAACTTCTTATAAATTACAAAACTATCATAAATTTCTTAAAACAAGCCCAACTCCAAAATCTCATAAAATACCCAAAACACTCAAAGGGCATTAAAGTAATTTAATAATCAATATTAAATTCAATAAGGCCAGCTGTCATTTTTGGGGTTTTTTTTGGGTTTGTTTATAGAAATTCAATTATAGAGGGTTTATTTATAATATTAGTGCTAATAATGGGTATATCACTAAATATCTCAATTTAAAAAGAAGGGAAACAGGGAATTAACTTCGCGACGACCAACAAATCTTTTTACTGTACTTAATTAATGCTTTAGATTTTTTTAGATTTTTTTTTTTTTTTTTTTTTTTTTTTTTTTTTTGTTTTTGCGTTTAGATTATGTTAAACGACTTTGTGAATTCACTTTGTATTCATCATCTACCAATAATCATTTCTAAGATCAACACATGCAGCTTTGTGATTAATCAGCACTTGAATGACGCTTCTTGGTAATACTAATTAGGATGATTATCCTAAAACCACAATTAAACACAATTTAAATGTGTAGTTTAGCTTGACCATGCTTTTTGCGAGAAGAATAAATATAAATGCAGTTATAGTAAGGAAGAGTAGTTGATAAACAGAGGAATATTTAACGCATTTTCGTTAAATATTTGGTCCCCTAACATTTACTTATTCGAGCTTTTTTTGTTCCTAGTCTTTTGTTTGACCGGGTCAAACACCTCTTGTTCGAGCTATTTGTTCGAGCTCGGACTAGTCTTATGTAATAAGTATATCAGTTTTTATCATCCAAAACATTTGAAATTTCCAAATTCTTCTGGTTTCATTCACACAAGTGGAATATTGAAGTCCTAAAATCTAACAAAGTATAGAAAAGAATCAAAGATTGTTCCTTCTAAACCCTAGGAAGATGCAAAGGTAATATTGATTCTCACTCAATTTTGGGATTCTCACTCAATTTTGGTTTTCTTTGCATTTGCATTTACTTTCTGTCTTTCTGCTAAATAGACAACGGTATTTTTCACCTACTATCTTGTGAAATACAATCCTCCAACGTTGTTTATTTACCATCTTGTGAAACTTCATCCTCCAACGGTAGGTTTATTTACCATCATTGTCTGAAATTTCATATCACAACGGTTTCATAACTGTTGTTGGTATTTTACTTTGCTAGTTTTCTTTAAGCTTTTCTTGTCAACTTTGTAATAGGACATGTAATGTACTTTCCAAGCTCAAGGTTATTAGACTAGGTTAAATTGTTATCTAGTTACCCTCCTTTGGCTTCTATCATCAATGACTCAACATAATCAAGGAATGCTAAAGGTAACTTTTGCATTACATTCATTAGAATGCAAGGGAAATAAGCTGGTATAATCACAAATCAGAAATAGTGTGCTGAAATAATCAGGCTACAAATTGTATTCTAATATAATCACTTGGGGACATGAAATGACCGAAGTGCCCTCCATATAAAAACATATCTATTGGGGAGTTATTGGCCATGGATTGGCGACCTAAAACTTCTGTCTTGCTCAGCTCGTCTCTTCCTCTTTGGCGGCGCTTTCTCTCTCCAGCGGCCACCACCACTCTATGTCTCCCTCTGTCCCCAAAACCTAAGCAGCACTCTCTCGTTCTCTCTCTGCCGTCAATGTTAGGGTTTGGGGAGGCGGTTATTGACGTTTAGGGTCTCTTCGTTAAATGGTATCTCCCTTAAACGATTTCTCAGTTCCCTCTCTTTTCATGTCTTGAATCGAAGTCTTTCTCTTCTCCTCTGCTCCTTGAGGGCCTCAAAAAACCCTAAATTGCGATTTTCTGTAGGTGTTGCTCGGATTTCCAATTCGGTTCTGTGCACAAAACGAGTGATTCTAAGGTTGGTTATGTATTTGTTATTGACTAGTTTGTGCATTTGTATGGTTTTCATTTGAGATGGATAATTTCAGTAACCTGTGACTGATGTTGTGAAGTTTAGTAATTACAGAGATTGCAATAATAATGTATTTTAACTGTGAATTATTTCATGCTTGGATGAAACTTGTATTGGTGTATTGATTTTGCTCTGTGGACGATGAAGTGCCTTAAGTTGGTATTTGTCATCTGGGATTGGTTCGTTTGTGATGCGTGTTTTCACTTCCATTTGATGATGCATAATTAGTGTGGGAATTTATTCTGGTGGCAATGGCTATTCCATTATAACACAGGTTTACCTCACTAGGCCCTAAATTAGATGTTGAGTAATAAAGCATAAGTAAATTTGTTGGTATCATTGCTGTTTCAGCACCTAGTAGCATAGTTTTGCACCCTTCCAGTCTTAATGGTTAATTATGTGAATTTGAAATACTAATGTAAGTTGGCGTGGGATGTTTCTTTTCCCTGTGCTATAAAACCTGCTAAATTTTGTTGTTAGTCCTTGCTTGCAGCTTGTCATATATGTCTGAAAATGGAATTTTCTTGGGTTTTAGTATCTGTTTAGAAATTTCATGTTCATCCACCTATGTTTAGCAGTTGCAGCTGCAGTAACATTTTGACGTGTCTAGTTTGTACACAGAGTCCATAACTGCCAATACTGATGTTCCATGAGTAGACATGTATATGACTATGGTAATGAGTAGATTTTAGTACGCATTGATGCATTTGGAGTAATTGTTGTAGCCATTTCGCCAAAACCCTGTATGAAGTGGATCCGTGGTTCATGAACTTGTTTCACACTTGGGTGGTATTTGGTTTTTGGATGGAATCGAATATAGATTTTGTAGAAGGGAATGTAGATAACAGCAGAGTGTGGAGAGAGTTGGAGAGTAGAAAAGAGGCTTCAAAACAATTCTGGTTTTGTCATATGTATATACATATATTAAATGACTTGAAAGTATTAGTTTGAGTAATGTTCGTATGAAATATGGGTAACCAATGATCCATATGTATGATGTTGTTGTGCAGGGAACTCTAGAATGGCTTGTAAAGCAAAGCTTATGATTCCTGAGGATGAGAAGTACGAAGGAAAGCCATTTGCCCTTTCACACGCAAGGACCGCCATTACAACAATAAAGGCGAAGTTCAATACGCAGCAGTTACAGAGGTTCGAGGGGAGTTGTTTTGGTCATCTATTACTGATAGAGGACCTGAAGTGGAATTCACAAGTTGTCCACGGGCTGTTGATGAGGAAGGCTGATCCTAAGACAGTTACACAGGTGAACGGGATAAAATTCATTGTGGGTAACAAGTTGACACAATTCACAGCCCAACACTTTTGCCTCATCACGGGCCTAAGGTTCGGAAAGCTCCCTTTCATTCCGAAGGCGACAAATGAAAACTGCTCCTTGAAGCGAAAATACTTCAGTAGCAATAAACCTCCCACCCTTTTGGACCTACACACTGCCTTCATCGAGTGCACAGATGATGACGATGCGTTAAAGCTTGGAATGGTCTATTTTGCCATTTTTGTGCTATTGGGTACTGAAAAGCATGTGCTTTTTGACATGCGCTATTTGAAGTTGGCCGAAGACTTAGAAGAGTTGGACAAGTATCCATGGGGTGCCGTGTCATATGCGATGACAAATGCTTCACTTTTGAGGGCAGTTTCTCCTGATTACCAACGAGTGAAGGTGCCCCAAAACAGAAAAAAGCCCAACAAACGTGGGAAGAAGAGAGCGCAGACAAGAATGGAATGCAGTAGAGCCAGAGAGTACATCATAAGGGGGTTTGGCTTCGCTCTTCAGGTGAACACATATCCAACAATGTTTTAGTTCATTTAAATACATGTACAGATTTTGATGTTTGATTGTTGTCAACAGATTTGGGCTTTTGAAGTCTTCCCAGCATTGGAAGCATTGCATTTCACGGTCCATGAAGACAATAGGCACATCCCTCGAATATTACATTGGAGGAGCAACACGGTGGCCCGTTTTCGGGAGGTTATGAGTCAGGTTTATGAAAACTTTGAGGTTAGTTCAGTTTGTATTACTCAGGTTATGATTAGGAACAAGTAAAAGTTCACTGATTTATTAGATGTGTTTCAAATGGAGGTTGATGTGCAACTTCTCCGGCCGACTGATATTGAGAAGCAACAACCTTACTGGAGTTGGGGTGATGATGAGAACAATGAGGAAATTGTTCAATTGTTTGGGGATGAGGGCGAAGACAAAACCAGCACTTCTAGTGAAGAAAAAGAGGCGGATGTTGAGGAAACAACTACCCTTCCCTCCTCTTCTAAGGTGAGCATGACCTTTTTCCAATGTTGTGAACATGTAGAGAATACGATACGAAAGAAGTGGAAATAGTTTTCTTAGCTTTTGTAAGATTTCTAACTGTTGCATTATAACTTTATGCAGGGCAAAGGGTCTTTTAATGACTTTGGCAGGTTGAAGCATCAATTAGAAAGCACTAAGGATGAGTTAGCAAAGCTACGTAGTTCAAATCGGGGCCTTAGGAACAGAGTTCGTGACTTGGAAGCTATTGTAGACAAGAACTGTTTGAAGCATGAGAAGGAGTGTGACAGAAATAAAAAGGCTATTGGGGATTTGACCCTAACAATTGCTTCAGTGGAACATTATTTTAAATTGGAGATGGAGGAGTTAAAAAAATTATATGGTGGACAAGGGCATGAGGAAGTGTGGACTGCTCAGATGAATGAAGGAGGGCAGAATGAAATGTCACCCTTGAATGAACTTACTACTCCGACTACAGCAGGGCCTAAAATGGACGCACAAGTTGCAGGTGATGGAGTGGAAGCCTTCCCAGGCATGCATACAGAACGGGCTGAAATGGAAGCAACAGTCTATGGTGGAGTGGAAGGGGCTGAAAGGGAAGCGGAAGTCCCTGCTGATGGAGTGGAAGCTTTTCTAGCCATGCATATACAAGGGGCTAAAAGGGAAGCCGAAGTCCCTGCTGATATTGTGGAAGGCTTCCCAGCCATGGAAGTCGAAGCCGCTGAAATTGACACTTCAGTTTGTAACAAACAAGTGCACCAACAACCTCACAAGGTTCCTACTTCGGAAGATGTGAAGGTTCCTAGTCTTGAAGATCCCCTCATTCCTAGTCCGGAAGATAGGGAAGGGTACAGAGTTATTTGTAAAACAATGTTAAATTTGTTAGAGGATTGGAATAAGAAAGAAATTCAGGGGGTGGGACGGAAGGCGAGGCCTCCCATGGAAACTAGTATAAATCTGGTTGGTGATGAAGGGGACAAGGAGGCTAATGCCACGGTTCAGAAACCAGATGCGGAAGGCAAAGGATGCAGACTGAAGCGGCCCGCGAAAACATTGTTGAGTCCATTCACTGATCCCTCCAGGAAAAAGAGGCCGACTACTGGTTTTCATGCACAGACACCTGAGGCCCGTTTTGATCCAACACAACCCGTGGCCATGGACGATGTGAAGGCTATGATACAAGTTTGCAAGGCTTGGAAAAGTGACATCAAATTAGGAATTGTAACTTGGCAAAACCAATATACATGTTTTTTGATGTATGCAGTCATGTACAATAACAATATCTACGTAGCTAATTGTTCGTGTGTGTGTCATTGTCATATTATGCAAGGTGTCCATTAGTTTTTTTTTATGGTTGAATTTACCTTTGCAAGTTTATTTTTTTGTAGTGCGGAGCTGGAGCTCGAACCATTTGTAGTTGGGGCAGATTTTTTTTACAAACTTGTAGATGAAACTGCATGGATGAGCTCGAGGGTAATACTTTTGAACCGTGCTTTATTTCGAAAAATTTCTTAATTGATCACTTTGAGTATGTGGCCATTTTTTTTTTAATATTGAGGTCGTTGTTGTGTTGTGAAATGTCAGCACCTTGACATGGCCATGTTTCTAATACGCAAAAGACAACTCTCTCATCCTCAAGTATTTGGAACGGAGTGGACAACTGCCGAGTTTTGTCTGCAGGTATTATTGTATTCATATTATGTCTCATTCAATTTGTTGCATTGGTAGGAGTAATGTTGTTGGCTGTGTTTGGTGCATTGGATCCTGTTCATGTAACGTGTCTTTCACACTTGTTTGCAGCAATTTTTACAGCCATTTACACCGCCAAGTGCGAAACGAGTTACGAGGAAACAAATTGCTTCAATGACTGTTGACCCTCCCCCTAACTACCTCAGAAATATACACCACTTTGTCTGGGGTTCATGGCAACATGGTTATGCACAAGCATGGACGAAAGTCCGCAAGGTCTATCTCCCGTATAATGTTCGACAGTCCCATTGGGTGGCTGTAGAAATTGACTTTGTCAGACATACTGCCACTGTGTACGACTCGTATACTGTTTTTACCTCCAACACAATGCTTGTCCGACAGATGGAGCCTATTACCCAGACGCTTGCAAAGGTGTTGTATGACATGAGGTTTTATGAGAAATCGGAGGTTGAAGCGGTGAAGAAAAAGGGGATTGACATGCCAACGTTTAACCCATTCACAATTTGCAGAATTTCCGATGTTCCTCAGCAAAGTGATGGGTAAGCTGTGTTCATTTAAAGCACTTTGTGCATGTTGTCAGTATGTGCACTTCTAACTTCTGTACTTCTCGGGTGGACAGTACCTCATGTGGCATTATGACCGTCAAATTTATTGAGTATCTCAGTGCTGGCATTCCTTTTAATACCATTGACCCAGCCAAGTTTGGCTACTACCGATTGAAGCTTGCAATCGAGGCTCTCAGGGGAGAGGCCTATGTATGAGGTAAAAGTCCATATCTGACCTCATATGAATTCACTGTTAAGGACTGCCTTCAGAATTGCCTAGTTATTTACCTACTTTTAATTATGTCGTACGTACAGAGTTGTGCTTTCAGTCTTCATTTCAGACAACTTACAGTATGTTGGCATCTTTTCCAAGTTTTATGAATGCGAATGGCGACTATTGTTAATCAAAGTTTAGGGTATTGGGGATTTCAACACCGTAGATGGTAATGTACATGTTTTGCAACTGGCATCTGATTTAAGTATGGCATATGTTCTGAACTCTGATGTGTATCATCCAAAACTTGTATCATGTTGTTTATGACATCTCAATAGAATTACTTCTTAAAATTGCTCCAATTATTAAGACGTTCAAGTTTCCCTTTCTATGAATGCTAACTCTCGGCACATTTGGCCTTCTTATGCAGGTGGTCCTTTCAGGTTCATACCCATATTGACATCACAGATTCTGTACATGTATGTCACAGAAGTTGCAGGCTGTTTCGTCGTTTTGTCATCCTGAAAATGAATGCGATGTTTTGCCTTACATGGCACCATTTTTGACTTTGTGTACAGATGGCAATAAAGGGTGCTGATTTTGTACTATGTTGCAGGGTGTTCATTTGTGTAACGTAATTCGCCAGTACTTGTATTCCATAGTAGAAGGGCTGTACTCACGTTTCCTTTCTGACAATGCGGTTATTGACCTTATGTACTTGACATGTTTTGTACAGGCATATAACAAAATATCCTTCATTTGGCCGAAGTTGCAGCCATATCAATTTTTTTTGCCCCACCCACATTGTAGCCGTTTTGTTTTGTGTGGTTCGGTGTAATACTTACTTTCGTATATTAATTATTTTCATCCAATCTGGACAGAAATGTTTGGGGTTGTTAGCCGAAACAATATCCCTAACCCTCTGCTGGGCCATTTACAAAGCATTATACGATTTGATCAGGGAATTTGTTAGCAAATTGGATGACTCTGTCAATTTGATGAATTTGGGAGTGGCTTATGTTAAAACCAAGAAATCTGACATTGGTTTCAAACAACTTCATTTTCTTGGCAGAGACAACTACACCATTTTGGCTAACTTTCGAAAGCAACTTATGCATATGTTTCCATTCATGTTCTATGGACTCAGAGAAGATAACAACAGCATCAATGTAGACTATAGAGAAATGACTATGCCAAAAAGCATTAGAAAGGCCATGTTTCAAATATCAAACTTCATTTGTTCTTCAAATGTTCGAATTTATTTTATTTTAAACTTAACTTATTCTTGAAGAGATTTCAACTATCGAGCTTTGTTTTGAATTATACTAACTGTTTTTGCAACAATATTATTTCCAAGGATTCTGCAGTTAGGTAACTCAAGCTTAGTTTAAAAAATCAAATTTGAGTCTTTCTCCTACATAAATAGAACTAACACCATCATGTTCAACCTAGAGCGGATATACTAAACCTATAAAGGGTAATCCTAATATTACTTCATCGGTGATGTTTTTTACTAAAACAAAGGCAGTATTAAAACAGATTTTATTTTCAATTTTAGCTTTTGGAATCTCCTAATTCAACTGTAAGGCTTTTCCCGACGCAGTCCTTAAAGACTGTGGATTTCTTATAATACTTTGTCGGGAAAAGGCCTTCTTCAATACAGTTAAGGTCGCCTCCTGAATCAAAAAGTCCGACTCTATGACACGTATAAATGTGGACAACTCTTTTCACTGTACAATACCACTTTCTAAACTTCACTTGTTTTACTAATTTGAAGGGCTTGCTCTCATTAATTACATGGCTCATCTTCAAAATTGGTTGGACTTTCATATTGACTATTAGACGCAGAATCATCCTTTGCTAGACGAGTTATGAAATTCTGTTTTATTTCATAATTCTTAGTTTCAACTTTATGACTCATTTGCTTTAACTCAATGATTTCCCTGTTGACTAATTTTATCTCAGATTGTAGGTGTTGAAGGGTGACTTCTTTTCTCTTCCTAACCTTTTCTACTGTTGTATTTAGACTTATTTCATTAGGGATAGTTGATGGACTAGGACTTTCTTGGCTAATGAGTTTTCTTGGTTTCTTTAGGTACTCCGATTTGAGCTCAGGATTTGATACGTTCCTTATTAATTCTATGAATAACTCTTATTGCTCTTCTTGCTTAGTAAGGACTCTAAGTGATTTTGAATTACAACATTTATCGTGCCAACAAAATTTGACTCCAGCTGAACTAGACTGGGAATCAGAGGACTGGTAGGGTTCTGACTCAGAATTGTTTACTACTGTTTCTATCTAACTTGTTTCAGAGTCTCACATCTCTAAACCCATAATTAAATTGTCTTTTTCCTCATTCGTGATTTTCAACTGTTGCATAGTTTCTTTGGCTTATGCACTCTGAGCCATAATGTCCGAACTTTTTACATTTTTAACATTTAACTTTGCTATTGTCTTCACTTGTCATAAAGCGACTATGTTTCGGTGGTGTGGACCTATTTTTCTTACGGTAAACTTTGTTTTTCCTATACAACTCATGATTATCTTTATTCCGTTCAAAGGCTTGTTTTCTTCGTGAGTAATGACGACTTTTCCTAATGTCACTCGGGTAATTGGACTTATTTTCCTAGACAGAGGTACTGACGTAAGACCATATTGTTGACAGAAGAGTCCTAACGCATATTTAGCACTTTCTCAGATTGTATTTGTCGACCAATTTTCATAGGTACCCACATTTTCATACCAACTTCGTTAATTGTACTAATTGTATTTCCATAGGTTAAATTATTCCAATCAATTTGACCTTGCTCATTGCTGAACTCAGTTCTTCTTTTATGGCCGAATAAGTTTGGAAGAGCGGTGATGAAGTTTTCTTTCCAAAACGGTTGATTACTAGCTTCACGAATCATGACTCTACAACTTAAAATATGTGTATACCATCTAAAATAAGACAGATTAGAACATCTCAGATTACTCAGTTGATCAAGTATTCTAGCATTAGTATGAGTATGGGTTCCAATAAAATGCTGACTTATAGTATATAACAAAGTCTTAACACCATATTCATCAAACCTCTTCCATTACATCCATAACCTAACCACCTTTAACCTGCCAAATGTAGATGAACAAACCTCCTATTACATTTGGAACACAACAAATAAATGACCATTCCAAACATGAAAACAGAGACCCAAAACCAGGGGTTTTTCATCTTCCCTTTTCCAGCGTTTCTTTCTTCTTCCAAGCGGTTTATTTTCCTAAGTAAGCCTGGAATTATGTGCTTCGATCTGTCACACATCTCTGGGTCAGCCCATTCCCAAAATGTACATCCATTCCTCTGCATAAACGGAAACAATATTTCCGTTACAAAGAGGCGCAGCATCACAAATGGAATCCACGAAAATGCCAAATTTCGGGTCAAACTTACAGAGAAATAAACTTACCCTTGCACATACTTGAAACCTCCTTCCCGGATGAGAAACCGTCCAGGATGTATGCGTTTTGACAACGTTCCCACAGTAGCACAGCCGTGAACATACCGAACTCGCGTCTTCCATTTCCCACCGAGACCTTGAAGGCCACTCTTGAGAGTGGCATGGAGACCTCACTGACTCAGCCGCACCGCTACGGAGGCTCCTCCTACTCATCTCCTTGTTTTCTCTGTATAAATTGTTGTTCAACTTGTGCGCTATTTGGAGAGGTCAAGAGGCTCATCTTGTAGTCAATGGGTTTCACTTGCCTGTGCGAAATTTGGATAATAAAACCGTGTGAGCGCACCAACATGAAACTTGGAGTTTATGGGGTGGTTTTGATACAACATATCAAACTTTACCATAGGCAACACTGAGGGCAGGGGCGGCCCTGGGGTGGTGCAAGTGGCGCCACCGCAAAGGGCCCCGGAAAAAAATTTTCTTTAATTTATATATTAATATTATAGGAAGTGTATATATACTATAGCGTGCTAAATATTTGCACAGAAGTGTTCGTGGTGGAGTTGGCTTCCCAGCGAAACTCCACTTAACAGGGGCGCACGAGTTCGAATTTAATTAATGCCAATCTATTCGCCCTTTTTTTATATTATTTTTTATTATAACAAGTTAACAACAAATTTTACATAATTATAAAATTTCAACAAAAAAAAAACGAAAACAAAAGCACACCTTTAAAATATATATATATATATATATATATTCTCCTCCAAGAAAAGTACTTTCTCTATTCAAAACAAAAAAAAATTTCATGGCTTCTTCTTTCTCTCAAACTCTGATTTTCTAATAAGTAATCATCATCATTCATCAATGTCTCTTTGGTTCTGTTTTCAATCCTTTGACAATTTTTGTAATTCTTTCAATTTCAAGAATTTGAACCCCAAAAGAGAAAATCATAATTCCTAAATTCATAAAGACCACTCAAAATCAAATAGTCAGATTCAAAGCTCATTTCAAATTCATGTATATATTTAAATTTCAATCTATATATTACATGACTTATTTTATTAAATTATTATCATGATGATGATTGGTTATATGAGAATATGGTTTTTAGAAATATTTATCTATTTCTTGCTGGGGTTTTCTTCCAGGTTACAAGGTTTTGGAATTTTTCTTTGTAATCTAAACATGCCACCTACTAGAAAATACATTTTTGGATATACAAAAAGACATAAAAAAAATTATAATAATCGAGGAATTGATTCAATCTCAAAGAGGAGCTTTTGAATCTTGATAGATTCATTGTTAAAGAATCACATGCTACATAGATTGCCAATTTGTTTTTACTATTAAGCACAGATTGCTTAGAGGAGGTAGAAAGGGATCTTATAGGGGCACAAGGAGCTTATTTTTGTATCAAACATACCAATATTTAACTTTATCAAATGGAAACATTTAAATTTTTATGAATTTGATTTTTGATTGTCATTACATGTTTATTGATGGTGACTTTTAGTTATAAAAAAATTGTTTATGACATTAAGTTATGGCAAATTGTATTTATAGTATT